ATAAAGGAGTTTCTCCAGTAAACTTGTGGACAGGGAGAAGGGCAAGGAGAGGAGAGGATGGCGGGGCAGGGATGGGCCACGATTTCGAAGCACCCTTCGATCAAGAATCAAAGACGGATTCACGCTAAAGGCAACCCATCAGAGATGAAGATGGTCAGTGATGAGGGATGAAGAAAGAAAGAAGAAGAAACAACCTGGAAACTGCGAAATGGGACCCCCCTTTACTCGTTGATTTCATCGGTGCCGACATCGTCACTGCTGACGCTCTCCCTGCCAGACGGCTAGAACCAGTCAGCGGAGGTGGGCGGGCAGCGGCGATGGCGACGCGGGAACGGCCATGCTCGATCGGTAAGGGCAAATCCTTCGCTGCAAATTCTTGCCGCCTAGCATGGCAGGATTCCACTTCATCGAGCTCCAACCTTACCGTGAAATTCTTCTTCTCATACTACTCATTTGTTGACTTACGATTGTTTCTTCACTTCCTTCCAACTTTACTGATAGCTTGTCTTGGTTTTGAATGCCTCGGGTGTTCTGCAGCAGAATGCACCCTTCTTATTGGGAGAGCGTCGGAATTTAATTACTTGCAACACGCATACCCCAGAAGCCCCAGGTGATACCTCAGGAGCAACCGCCCCTATGAATTGGGACCAAAAGCGGGACACATACGAAAATGTTATCAGAAAAAATTTGGCCATCGACAAGCTACCAGTAAAGTTGGTAAGGGAACGTGGTCATTCGGGCGCGGCATACATATGTTCCTTGAAAAACGATACTGAGAAGCGATACTATGCGGAGATCGCCGCTTAGTTTGAAACACGGTCGAGCCTCTCCCAAGTAGGATCGACTGCCCGACGGATGGAGAAGGAGAACGAGAGGGAGGGAGTCGTAGGGGACCCGTCCAGAAGGATGTTATTATTTACCCAGTAGGTCAGATATAAGCACCAACATCAGAGTCCTACGGCAATTGTATGGCGGAAAAGATTGATTGCCTTCTGAGTTCATTATTTTTGTTTGTGAAACAGGAAAACACGTAAATAACCAACCGGTCTCGATGCCGTGATGCAATGTGCTTCGCCAAACGATCGTGAAGGGCAAACGCCTGAAAATTACTCAATGAACAGTGATTCTGTGAAATGACTAATAAGGTGGACAAATAAACATAAATGGGGTAGATGACATAAAATGGGCAAGACTGAAAGGAGATTTCTGGTGAAGCGAGCTTCATGTATGGTCCTGCTGGGCTTTTCGGTTGTTTCTTCTCAAATCAGAGTCTCGTCTTTCGTTCCCATCAACAACAATAGAGTATATCTCCCTTCTCTTACCCTTCTCCCCCAATAGCTCATCGCCTCCTAGTAGCTTTTAATTTGAAGAATTTCATAACCATTAAATCGATGAACCTGTGCGACTTCCACGCAGCCTGCATGCGAAAGGTGGGGTAGCTTCACAACCTAGTCACCAATGTTCGGCTGATTTCGGCTATTTTACAGACACCGAGACAATTCCAAGCTCCAAATTTTCGGCGGCGGTGGGGTTATATGTAACTTTGAACAACACAAATATGTACACCCTGCTCGACTGGTCCTGATCGATCCGTGTGACCTTGGGTCTCAATTCCCTTACCCTTCGAAATATTTCGACCGGTGAATGGCCGACTTTGTAAGCCCCTGGAAAAACTGAATCGTAGTAGGTATGTGAGTTTTTAAATTCCCTCCCCCTCCTCCCGGACGGTGGATCTTAAAGAAGTGGATAGCTCGCATGTACTATGTCATGGTAACAAGCGAAGAAGGGTAGTATATGAATTTCTAAATTTCCCAGGCAACCTCGCAACCTGCTCAGCGACATTAGGATGACGGCCCAGATGTGACCGGTGGTTTTGGTGTGAAAGGCTATTAGTTCTAAACAGTTTCCAGCAAAAAAAAGCGAAAAAAGGTCGATCTATAGGCCTTAGCATGACGCTCAGTTTGGCATACCAGTGTCTTCCAAGTCGTTGCGGGTAGCTAAAGCGCACTGACAAGTTCTCACCTCTATAAATCTAGGGGATCCAGGATTTTACGCACCGAAAAATAATACATCTATTATAAACGAGAAGAGCGTCGGGTGCAGACCACATACCATAAGTTAGGACGGTCGAGAAAGAAGGAAAGAAACGCCACCTTCTTCTCGACCGTAGTCATTTGTGGTGCGTGGTCTGCACTCAACGCTCTTATCGTTTTGCGAAATAGAGGTTACATCATCGCAGTAACAGATACTGGTATTCCTATCGATTTACCGCGTATCTAAAGTGGCTCCTGATAGATAGGCTTGATTGTGCAGTCCTACGCGGTCCTTTAAGGGGAGATTCGACCGTAACTACGTATGGGACGCCCTGATTGAGATGGATGGAGACTATCTATGATCCTTTTCCTCTTCCTCCTTTCACATCAACGGGGTTCTATCTTTTCAGTGCACCATATCTCACTGTGCCACAAGTGCGCAGACAAATGGTCCCGTGGTGAGGTTACGGCTTACGTCCGATTCTGAACGACTTCGCCGCCACAACGTAGCACCTTTCACAGGTCCTGCACCAAGTCCCACCGGCAACATCCACCGTACTCTGCCTCAACAATGGAGCTCGAGGTAGGTGGTCGGTAGGTGGTGCGAGAAGTTGTGGATTTGGTACCTGAATATGGGACGTTCAATATCACTTGAACATAAACCATTCATTTTCTGCAGCCAGACATGTCGCAATTGCAGACCAAGCAGCATATGTGACATAGCATCAAAAGTATTAACAAACAAGTATATCGACTTGAGTGATATATCGATTTTTTGAAGCCGTCGTGTACTGTCAAGTCCGCAAATGCGGCATGCACGGTCGCGGAAACAAAGTATAAAGGTATGAAGAAAGTTATTACCTGAAGCAGGCCCATTGTTCACCACATTGTTGTACATGTTCACAGCTTGCAAAGCTACTATCTGCCGTTCCATCCACATTTGAATTTGATTCTGTCCACCAAGGGCTTGTCGCATCGCGTTTTCCAGCTGTGTATGAGCGATTATTCATTTAATTTCGATTGTGAAATGAAAAAAGGAAGGTTTTTTGATGCGTGAGTTTTCTGTTTTGGCGCGTGCGGTCGCGAAGCGGCTGTCGTGTTTGATCGAAACTGATGCGACGACTAATTTCTTGAATGTTGAGAAGTGTTACCCAGATAAGTAGAACCATCTATATGTGTGCCAGCCTATTACTCGACCTCTGCGTCATGAAAATAGTCTTTTATTATTGGTCGTTGGACGCTTCGCGACCGCGCGCAGTAGTTACAGGGAATTTGCACACTCGACTGATAGCACAGATTGACTGAAACCATTGAAATACGGTACAACATTACATTTTCTCGGGTTAGTTCATGAGGAGGCGATGGAGGAGGTTCTTCAATAGTAGGTTGCCGTGAAGCGAGTCTGCTGACGCTGCGCAGATCGGAATCGTCAATTTCGGACTCCTGAAAATGAACATGGACTTAAAGTAAGAGGCTCAATCTGAAATAGAGGTCGTAGTAATTTTAACATCAACAAGAGCCGTTCCCTTAGTCTGACCTGTTAAGGGGTCGGAATTGCAAGCGTTGCATTCATACTCCACGAACTGCTATCTGCTGCACACGTAAAACGTGCGTATCGATCGCGGCCGACGTCGCGTTGGTCACAAAATGATATGAACGGGGTCAAGCGGCGCGTGGAGGGAAATTCTGAAATACGTGTCCCCCTCCCTCCAGCGGTCGTAGTCCATGAAAAGACTATCCTCACAAGCCAAAGTACGAAGAAGTTGCTTGACCCTCCGCGACAATCTTCCAGCAGAAAAGCCCTGTTACCCAACTCTTCACCATAGAAGTCTCTCCATAAGCGGAAAAAGTAAAAGAAAATTCATCAACAATGAGTCCTATCAATAAACGTAGCAAAAAACGACCACCAGTCATGGAAAGGAGCAGACTGATGACAACATCTATTCGTCCTTTATTCCCTTTGAGAGGCTTACCAAAAATTAGTACCACACAGAGCAGGCTTCTACGCCCACCTGTCGGATGACAGAAGCCTTGTGGCTTATGATTGGCCAGCTGTATGTTGATTTATCTTGGGCTTCCGCCACGGAGCAGCTTATTTACTATTGAAATTTGAACGCAATTCAGATGACTAAAACCTTCTTCAAAGTAGGCGATTTTTCAGTACCAAAACAGGTTAGAAGTTTTTGCTAGAAGCCTCTGATGTTCAAGTATTATTGAAATTTCGGGAATCAATACGAAGTGCCATAGCTACGTTGATTAACGAGGAAAACCCTTGTTGAGCGCGAGTTTTTACAATTTCCAAGGCTAAAGCTTCCTCCAAGCATAAAAGTTAACATAGCATGTTTAACTGCAAGATCTGCTCTACAAGACCTATATTGAAATAACTCGATTTGTAGTATTTCGAAAATGGCTCCGTTGAGAATATTTGCAGGAGCATCGCCTAGAGGTTCTCATCCGCTGCATTCGCACTCTTTCAGCGACCATTGCTCGTCTAAGGGATGGTTCTGTATAGAAATGAAAGCGGATTCGAATTCAGTAAGATTTTTCTTCCCAGTAAGTGTAGAAACTTTTAGCAAGTTCCAATTTTCTTATTTTACTGATTGATTACTACTAATTGATTGATTTTTACCTTATTGATTATATTTTCATAAATTTGACGCAGAAATCTGCATTTCTACTTGAATAATAGATTCACCCTGTCTTTTTACACAGCCCCTTTTAGTATTCTCTTTCTCCTTCCTGGTCAAGATTTCTTCTTAAAAGAGCCCTTGTTCGAAGACGCAAGTGACTGGGCCCATTCTGGGACGCGCCATGTGCTTCACATCCCTTCATGTTGGTGGTCTTTATGAAGAATAAAATATCAGTCGGAAAAAATGCGAATTTCGTACTCTTTACCTCTTGTCGAAATAAGCCACCAAGGTAGCTTGGAATTACTACATGCGGACCCCGCTTGAACCACGAAATCATTCTGTGGCGGTATAACACCGTCACTGGAATCCCTCTGGTAAAGCTTGCACAGCATCGATCACTCATTGGTGTTTGTCATTCGACAGTAATGACTCCACTCCGTCGAACCATCCCGAACGCTTCCTCCAGCCCCCAGCCGGCTAAACGGTCCTCCCCTCCCCCGTCGACCTGTCGAGGACTCCTCAACGCACGCCTGACCCTGGATGAGAAGCCAATTCAGTTTATTCGTTAAGAGCAGCTCACAAACGCTCGAACTTCGCCGAGTGTAAACAGGGCCATGAAACTTTTTCGAGGGATGGCGATACTGGCTCGTAGTGATACCGGTTATTTACAAGTATCCGCTCTTCTGACGATTGCAGCAAGGCTTTGAAGAGGCCACATTTACTGTTTCGCGGTCCTGAGATTTAGATTCCCTTGAATTGGAGTTATAGTTATGTGCTGTTCTTTTCCCAGCTATACAGTGGCAAAAGTCTCGCACTTTGACGCTCCAATTGCCATATGGGTGCCCCCCCCCCCCCCCAGGAGGCCCGTCGCGCGGCAAGAAGGCCGAGTCAGCGGACGAGTCGCGCGCGTATTAGGGAAATCGCGTCAAGTTAAATAGAATGTCCCATTGCACGTCCTTCATCGCACATCACGCGCCGCGACTCGTCCGCCGACTCGGCCTTCTTGCCGCGCGATGGGCCTCCTGGGGGGTACCCTTTGCCATACATCCCCACCCACTGGGAAGCACCGCCTATGCAGCGTGAAGTATACAGGTCCGGTCAGTAGGGGATGGCATACAGTTTCACGTAAAGAATATTCACCAAGAGGAATTGTAATAATTGTTCAAAAAAGGAACCATTGAGTCACACTGCTCAGATGAACGTACGGTGGTACTCGGCGGAGGACTGCTACTGCTACGTTGTTTTGACGCTTGCCGCTCCTCTTGCTCTTCCTGATATTTTTGCAATAATCTCTTCTTATATTGCCCAACGGATGAGAGTCGTCGTGAGGTAGCAGCGGGTACCTAGACGAAGGGAATCAAATATTTCAGGTTATAAGCACGAATACTGGTTTACGTACTGAGATCGTCGATTGCAAAGAGGTGTCCATACGTTCCTCTTTTGGTGCCATGTCGCTGTCCGATCGGCTTCGTTCCCTAAAACGCAGTGATAGCTAGGATTATTTTTTGAGGGCAGTAACAACAGGGAAAAGAGAAGGACTTGTTGCAATAGGCTTCCAGGCCCAGGCGACAGTGCCAGCATACTTACTTGACGCGCTAATTAATTTAGCGACACAGGTTTTGCTCTCCTTTGACCGCATCAAAGCCTACCTCTCCGCGTCACCATTGGTTCCCACACAGAGCGAATGCCATGATTCAGTTCTTGCACAATCTTACTTGGTAGGCGATAAATACCCTCGCCCTAACCATAAACGCATGGGGCTGTATCCTATCCTACCCCAGGGAACGCGTTCCCGCCGCTGATTCTATCCTAAGCTTGAAGGAGACAGGGTAGGACCCGCCATTGAACGCGTGATATTGTAGCTACCCTCTCCTGTTGAGGCACTCTTTTCTCTGGGGGTCGCGCTGTCTGGAGTGGAGTCTAGAAACGCAGAGTATGGCTGGTCCTATGACGCAACCTTGTCTCCATCCAACGTACATAGGATAGGAACAGCGGCGGGGGACACGTCCCCCTGGGGGAAGGATAGAATACGGCCAGCAAGTTGCCGGGTTTATACTCACTCTGTCGCTTTGCCTACTATCACATAAAATTTTGAAAAATGTTAATGATTGAGATACAGGTTCACCCCAGCTAACAAATTTTGTTTGCGTAAGACACTTGCTGAGCTGTGAGGTTAGGCCCCATTTGTGCCGCTTCATTTTTTTGACCCGGCTTGAAAGCGCTAGAAACGCCCCTCATCACCATGATCAACCTCGGGGAAATCCCTCCTACAACTTGTCACCTGCCCGCACCCTACCATAGCTATCATCTACGAGTTTGGTTTTGAGCTACTTCGCCGCGCCTCCAACTCGCTCCACTCTGCCCGCTCGAGCGAAGGGCAGCGGAAATATTGGTGAATAAACCGGTCAGCTCGAAAATTTCCCCCTTCTTCACATATCATGCCTTTTTTTTGAAGGTGCGTTAGAAACGCTTCCTTCTCCCTTCCACTGCAACCACCCCCAGCGTTCACTCATCATGCCCCTATGGAAATCCCAGCCTCTCTCGTACAGCGGACGATTAACCTTGGATGCGACACCACCAGTTCGCTTTTAGACGACTAATAAGCTGATAGCTATTGAATGGTCGTAATCGAATGGAATACCTGCCCCAAATAAACATTCAACAACAAACATGTCCAGAAATCTAACGGGGATTCGAATCCACGATGCGATCCGGTACCATGGGTTGGCGTCCTGCATTCGAGAAATCTAACCGGGATTCCGAATCCAACGAATGCGATTCCGGTACCATAAGGTTATGGCGTCCAGACATCGAGCTGCTGCTTCGTATTTGGTCGAAGCTGAAATGGAATTCACAATAAAATTCAACTTTGGATTTGAAAACAACTTTCAAAACAGCTGCTAGTAAAATTTTATGTAAACCGAGTAAACATCGAGGACAGCTTGACAAAATCGCGCGGCAACTGGTCCTTGCAAAAATGTCGCGCAATTTGGTTCACGCCATATAACCGGGGCCACCGCAAATGCTTCATCTCCAATGTCTGATCTTTTCTAGTCCTGCGATTCTTCATACTAGATTACCTGAAGTGGTTGAAGCTTCTCGTCAAAGGATTCGGCGACAAGGTAGGCGAACGAGCGTACGCCGAGTATGGTGTCCCGGTATCTTCGCAGTCTGAGAACGGCGAGTACGGTGCCGGTGAGAGCATCATTCCCGGTGACAGAAGGTCCTTACTACACACATCTGATGCTCCATCGTCGAGATCAAAACTAAAATAATCAATCAATGAAAGATTTTTTTAAACAACGAATTTCAAAACCACTGACCTGCTTTTGTGATTTTCACGGAAAACCATCCAGGGAGCCAAATTCGCCGACGTGACGCTGATCGAAGACCGAGGGCTCGAGCCTAGATCGGATGTCGCGTAGTTTGACATCGGTGACAGCTTACCGTACTCGTAGCCGGAACTCAGCTGAACATGAATTAGATGGAGTTGGATCAACATTTCAGAGCTATCACATAAATATTTTCAGGTGAGGTTCCCACAACAACCAGACTACACCAAGCCACACGGAAGCCCATGTTCCTCTCTCTATGGTGCGGATCACCTCCTTGCATGAGTGCGGTCGCGACGCGGCTTGGATAGAAAGATGTTGGTGGAAGCTTCAATATCCATTCAAATAAATGAACGAGCACTCTCAATTGAGCTCATATACTAATGCGAGCATAATGTAGCCTGCAGCATGATGTACATAGCTTGAGAAATCTTCAGAAGCAAATTCGAAACGCAACACCAACAAAAAAGTGATTCCAGCGATCGCAACGGGAGACGTTCAGTTCTCCTCTTGGGGTCAGGTCACCAGAGCTGCGCGATCATTGAAGCTAAGGTTAAGCTTGGGTTTAGCTTAGGTTAGGCTTATGCTTACACATTGGCTTATGCTTAAGCCTATGATTGGGCCTAGGCTTAGTCCTAAGCTTGCTCCGAGCAAATGAGTGGTATCTCAATTTTAGCTGACCTGACCGAGGAGGAGAACTGCGCCGCACCCGGTCGCAGCCGCGCGCGTCTCAAGCAGCCTCATCTCAAATATTCAAAGGGGTATTCAGCCCAGCAGCGAGGCAGAGTTAAGCAATCAATCTGTCAAAACATTAACAAGAGTAATAAGTTTCAATCGTAGCTAGTACCAAATTTATGCGATGCATGGCGTCCTCAGTGAGCGGAAATGGTCGTCGCAATCGTGGCGAAGTTGGCGAAGATGGCGCTGATGGACCTTGTTCACAGATCAATGGAGGTGACTGTAAAGCGAACAAGTTAAATTATAGAAAAAAGTTCTGAACAGAGAATCAAGCACATCTAACAGCAATTCGTATTCCGAAGACGCAAAACAGGTTGTTGTGGACCTGCTAGGTCGCGAAAGCGTAGGTATAGAAAATACCTAGGTACTTTCCACATCCAAGGTTTATGAATTATGAGACTCCCAAAACAGACTTATAACCCCAGAGTTCCACTAGTAGAGCTGGCTCAACTTGCCATTTACTCCGCATGCTTTTTTGTTCAAACGCAGGGCAAGCAAGCAATTACGGTTTTGTCTACGATAACTATGAATTCGTATTTGGGTGATATGACAATTGTGCTTGTCACTATTTTTCACGTACGCTGGGGAGTAACTCTCGTAAACAAAATAAATAAATAAAATAAATAACAAATAAAGAAAGTAATAGACTTATAATTCCATCGACTCGCCGAGTGCCTTGGCAGATTGATACAATCTGATTAATAGAAAGAAAATTGCCGAGCTGGCATGATCGGTTCTTCATCGGACTCAATCACGCGAACTGCGCATGCGTATCACGGCCACGTTAGTATGGAGATGCGCAGTTTGGGTTACGCCGGACAGAAGGCCCGGCGTGACGGCAAGAAGGCGCCGACTACCAGTTGCGCTGGACTCCGCCTTCTATGCGCGCGGGCTCCTGTCTCGGTACCCTTAGTGTTGCATAAGGTGCTAAGTCGGGTGAGAGGAAGAACACTGGCATTCCCGCAAAAACTGAACTGGGAAGGGGTTAAGGAAAGACTACGGGTGGAGGTATTTTTTTCTTATGCCCTTAGTTTATTATATAGGGAAGAAGGGAAGTTCGATTTAATCTCCAATAGCTCTTGTAACGAGAGCGGAAGATGAGAGCTAGCAAGTGCGCGCCTGGCTTACACACCGGGCACGTTAGTCTTTTATCCATACAGGGTCGACTGATTAATATTTAGACTTGTTTGGAAGGCGGAAAACACCGAAGTAGAGTGCACGACGCATCAAAAAGGGATCAATAAACTCCGAGTTTTTTCATACCCTTAAAAATTTGAAAACTAGAGTTTGGAGTGTCCGGAGGAGGCCGAAACGCAGTAAGTCAATGAAACAGCAAACGACCACCTGTCTGGATAGGATTTCCACTACATGACTCGTTTTTCATGCTAGTGCTCTGCCACGTGAAGCCCTCTACTTAAAGTTAAGGATACTTTGAAGCAGTCCTACTCAACGACAACTCGAAAGGTCAGAGCATCCTGCATTGATCAGTCCCTCTGGGAAGCGCCATGCTTTTTGTTTCCATTCAGAACTATTGACCCCATTCAAGGTGGGTGCGTAGCGTTTCTCCTCCTGGGGTCACCTAAAATTGAGACGCCGTTCATTCGCTCGGAGCAAGCTTAGGACTAAGCCTAGGCCCAATCATAGGCTTAGGCATAAGCCAATGTGTAAGCATAAGCCTTAACCTAAGTCTAAACCCAAACTTAACCTTAAGCTTCAATGATCGCGCAACTGTGGTGACCTGACCCCAGGAGGAGAAACGCACGTCTCCCCTTGAATGGTGTAAAACGAAGTGTGCGGTCCCAGGATAAGCAGTTCGACCTATTAAGTAAGTCCAGTACCAATTAGTACACCGTAGGAATAATAGCGATAGAAGACTTGTTAAGTAGGGCGTGTTCCGATCCGGAGTTGGTCCTCAGACCGTGCGCTTGGGAAGTGGGGCGCCACTTGTCCCCGCTATTATTCATGTTCTTTTACAAAAGAGTCAGACAATAACGAATCAAGTAGGAAGGTGTAGTAAATGGCAATGAAATCCAGACGCATACGGTCCAGTAAAACCTTTCCTATACTGACAATCCATCCAGCCCGCACCTCAGTCTAATGTGGGTCCAGGGCCCGTATGCATGTGAACAGGAACCCATTACTGATGCGTAAACTTTTCGGAATCGGGACATGTTTTGTCGGGTAGCGTGGCTGTGGGAAACTCATTTAGCGGTCCGTTAAGTCGCTGTAGGGAGTCGGTTAATGTTAAAAGTGGCATGTCAAGCGCGTTGGAAATTTTCCCAAACGCGAACTTCGTAGGGGTTGTGATTGTGCTGATGAACCCAGAAAATCCAAAAACGTTTTTGAAAAAAGTTACGGAAAATTGAATATTATTAATTATTAAGGTAAAATTCCGTGTGATAATAAGTCTGAAGAGAACGTATAGCTGAAGGACAAACAACGAGCTAGCAATTCCCTCTGCTGTCGTCACCTGATCAGGTGCCTGGAGGACGCTGAGGCTGCCCGAGAAATGAAATTTTGAAAGCTTCAGAGATCGCTCACCGATTTCGCCTTCCAAGTTCGAATCAGGCAAATTATAACTGGAAATTATGAGTGGTAAAAAGCGTGATTAGACGAAAAGGTCGAGAAAAAATGAAGAAGGAGCCGTCGTGGGTGAAGGAGGCGGTGGCGGCAGACAGATGGGGGCAGCAGCGTATGCTGCACCAACTGTCGCCATTGACGTTGCACTTGACACAAGCACGAGTCATCGGTTTTCGGATTACGGGCTCAGAGAAAAAGAAGTCAAAGAAACTAAGGAAATATCAGAGTGATCGATAATTGAACGGTTTCGAACGATGGGTAAGGCGCGCTTTCCTGAAGGGCTGGAAGGAGTGTCTCCAAGAAAACGCTCTTCCGGATAACAAGAATGCTAGGTTGTGAACAAAAGTTTCGCCCGGACGGGACTCAAACCGCACCTTTTGCTTACCGGACAAGTGCGCCTTACAAGTTACGCTACCGGGACAGCATTCCATCCCAACTTCGCAGGTTTTTTGCACGAAATACATAACGATAAATGTGGGGACAAGCACTACTCGACGCTACTTTCGCCACATTACGCATTCCTGCGCCCAAAAGGGACAAGATGCATCCGGATCAGTCTGGGGGAGCAGCTGAGGTTGCCCGTGAACGTTTTTCTAGGCATGACTGACTTTTTTTTCCGCTGGATTTCGTAGCTCCCTCTTGGAAAAGGGCAACTAGCTTGCAGATCCAGCACTGCATTTTGGCGATAAGAACGAGCGCAGAGTATAAAGCTCTGGACGGTTAATCAGCATTCGCTGAGATGAGCCTATGCTTCTACTTTTTACCGCGAGCTTTGGTACAGTGTATGTCGTTTTGGCCTACAAAATGACCTTCACGGGGTCAACCAATGTGAAAGTCGTGTTCCTTTTCTAGGCAAGTATGCGTCAAATTTCGCCCCAGGGAGAGTTTGACGCTTACAGGCTTGGGCGGGATGCACACCAAAATTTAACCCCCGGGCTGTGTGCATGATACTCGATGATTTGCCGCAGCACCTCGCACGCCATGCTGCCCAAAAGGTATACTTGTTAACACATTCACGACGACGCCCCTTTTCCACTTTTCGGTCGCGTGGGACGGACGCGATTTTGTGGGCGCCGCCGCCTCACCACATAACCGCAGATTTTGTTTTGTAAATGAACAAAAACATGAATGTCACAAAATAATTTCTGCAATGTCCAATGCGTAAAGATTATCTAAACATATAACAGTAGGATTTCGATCACGACAAATAGTGGTTACGAAAAGAGAGCATTTATTCACTTTCCCCGTGAAGGAATTTAAAAGCATTTTACACTCGATTACGAGGTTTGCCCACCTATCTGTCCATTCCTAGCGCCTGGCAAAGCGATTATCAGTTGGCAGCCCATATGGGCGGCTCGGGCGTGAACGTGTTAAAGGAATCTTGCGCGGAAAAATCATGATTCTATTTCAGCCATAAATCACTGGCTTGAGACTCATTATCCACGATAATAGTGAAAAGAACTGAAGTATTGCTTTCGTTTTGATTAGAAATTCGAAAACTCGAAAAGGCTGCTACGCGTTCGAATTGCCCACGGACGTCTTTCACGAATGCTGGCGACGGGGATGCTCAAACTTGGTTCTTGGAGTGCATTCACTAGAAGCTCTTTCTGGCCTTCTGCTTCGTTGCATTCACATCTTACACTTCTACTCCATCCTATTCCATCGATCGATTTGTCTCCACTCTCCGAAATCGCGCGCTTTAACCCGATTCTCTCATTGCGTCGCCTGGTACGTAGCCGGCCAAACGCCGTCTTCTTTCCATGCCTCGCCTGGCTCTGCCTCCTGGTCCTTCGATGGTCCATAACGTGTAGTTTTTGTACGTTTGTTTCTCTTCAGAAACCGAATCTTCATG